GGTGCTTCCTGGTCTCTTTGTTTTCTCTTTGTTCCATCACCATGGCCATGGTGAACTACCAAGGCATGGCCGTGGCCTTCAAGACTGAAGGGTAATATCAACTTCTTCAAGTTTTAAGTCCCAATTTCATTCCAATACTCCAATCTACTCAATCAAAGCCTAAAAAAAACCCAAAAGTTATCCAAATCAATAGGTAAACCATTCATATCTCAAACTTAACAAAAACAAACATCAAAACAAAGGAAACAAATGAGAAGTTAACTAAACTAACATCAAAACAACCCTAAAAACACTCAAATTATGCAACTTATCAAGTGTCATTGATGCTAGCATAATGCACTAAACATTATCAACATCATCAAGGAAATTTTGGTAAGTATCCTTTGTTTCCTGAGTGGCATCAAGTCTAGGCTTAGCCAGATAAGGCTTATCAAGGATATACAATTTCTTTTCAAACTTCAGTAATATCCAAAGATTTCAATATAAATCCAAGAAATTGATCCATCCAGCCTATTTTCTTTCTTGATTATTGATCACAGGTTGGTATTGCTCATTTTTAATAGATCTACAAATGCAGAAAAATCAAAGTTATTACAATGTTTATTATTATTTAACAAGGTCTTTTGTTAAATAATCGCTCCCACTATTTTTCTCAAGCCAATAGCCCTCACTATTAACTTAGGAAAGCTTGTTGGCTTTCCCAGTGGACTGAGATCCCATCTAGCCCATTTCAAACCTTCGCTTTGGTGAACAAGCCAAAATGGTTGATTAGGTAAGCCAACAGACTTAATTCACACCAGTTGATAGCTCCAACTACCAACCTCAAATGCGAAGTAAGCCAACAAACAAATCACACAATATAATGACTGAAGCCATTAATTGTCCTTAAGTGTGTTCTCAGTATCAGTAGAGTGGACACTATATGTCACCACGTACACACAACAAGTGTACTTCTCTACCATGCGTGTGATGTGTTTATCAACCTTTGCTTTGGCAAACAAGCAAAACACACCATTTAAGTCGACCCATCACCATCAAGGAAAACTGCAATGAGCTTTAACCTCCCACTGGCAGAAGTGTACCCTTCGCTTTGGCGAACAAGGTTCCAACGAACATTGATTTGATTAAAGTCATGGTGATGGAAGGTGTTTTAATTACTGACTTAATATCCTTTATTGAGGGGTTTTATTTTGTGGTCTCACCAATTTAATATTTTTATTAGAATGACATTGATTGGCATGTTATTAAACATTCAACCTTAGCATGCATTCTAAGCATAAAATTAAACGTGCTGATACATGACCCACTAAGACCAATTTCCTCGAGCCTAGAGGAATCGGTAGGTCAACAAAGGGTTAAAATATAAAACGCAGGTCTTGAAGTTCGCCTCTTCATCGCTTCTTCATTTCTTCATCACGATCAATACAAAAGAATTTATAATAAATAAAATCCTATTTTAATTTACATCAATAAAATAGAAACCTCACGTTACATAGGAGGGGAGTGGGATGAGAAGAAGAAATACATAAAGAATCAAGAGGGAGGCAGGACACGTAGGTCCTATTTATTTAAAAACTTACAAACAAACCCAAATGAAAACAAACCATAGGTCTAAGGCTCATGTACTAAGCACCATGCATTTTTTCAAACAAGAACATTGCATACATTCAAAAACAAATATTTTTGAATTGGATGGGTGTAATGATTAAATTACCCTCTTAGATGTGCAGAATAATTATTGGCTTTAAAGGTTTTTAAAATTAAAGTTTGGTCCTTGTGCATAAAACACAAAACTGCTCCAATAGCTTTCTTGTCGTGGCGGCAAAAACTAGTCGTCGTGTTAAAGGTCAAAGAACACCACAGTCACCGCGGCAAAGGTTTATTTTGCCACAGTGAGCTTGAACCTACAGAATGCTCCAGGAATTCCATAATGCATCTTGTCACGGCGAAGTTTTATTTTGCCATGGTGAGATCTACTTTTTTGCAGTTCATCGCGGTGAAGTGTTATTTCGCCGTAGCTAGAGGCCATGATCTCGCGGTCGTTGTAATTCACATTTTTTTGCAGTTTTTCACATATCGATGCAAATCTTAATCAAATCGAATGCACCAGCATTCAACCAGTACCTCAACCAACCAACAAAAATTCATCAACATATCAGTTAATCAATTGATCATTCAAATCATGTAATTAACACAAAATTTTACAGATTTTAAAAATTCAGTTTATACAATCAAACAAATCACATGTTATCAATCATCAATTAAACATTATAATCAATTACCCGAGGCTCTAATACCACTGTAAGTAAATGATCAGATTCGCGCAGTGAAAAGACATTCAATTAAATTGAATCGATCATTACTCAAAGTCCAAAATCCAGGCAAAGATTATAACATTTACAAGTTAAACTAAAATCTGTGTAAAACAAATCCATAGAAGGATTTAGAATACATTACCAATGTTTGGAGGCTCTTTCAATATCTCCGATTTGGTCTCGCTTCTAATTCAAAGTATAATCGCACTCACGTCATCCACACGAAGATAATCTGGTAGAACGTTAGTATTGTTTTGCTAGAATAATAAAAAGGCTTCAAGAATCAAGAATCAAACAAAGAAAAGAGAAAAAAATTCTTCTCTTCAATCAATGAAAACGTGAAGAGGAGAGAATGGGTGGCTATGCTAGGAAACGATCAATCCATGGCAGCGGAAAACAAAAATTATATATAACACAGATCGTTCCTTAGAACCAAGATCAGTACACAAATTTTTAGTTTAGACATTAAATCAGAATCTGCAGAAAAATCAGTTTAGAGTTAAGAAATCATACACACGTTTGGAGGCTCCTCCAACTTGTCTCTGAATGGGTTTCGCTCCCGATCCAAAAGTAGGATCGAACCAGCAGTAGTTAACACAAAAATAATCCAAAGAGCTAAAGAAGGATTTGCTAGATCCTCTTTAGCCTTAAGAACCAAGAACAAGAATCAAATGTAATATTTGGTTCAACCAAATGTGAAGTGGCATGGGAAGCGAGAAAAGGGGGCTGGAATTTTTAATCAAAAGTGATTCAATGAATTGTTATTTTATTTCAAAAAAGCTTACACTTATATAGTGCACACAATGCCCTATTCCTTCATGGAATAGGCTTGGGCACCAACCCCAACAGCCCCATTTAGATATTTTTATTTTTATTTCAATTCAATTCAATTAATATATTTAAAATTTATTAACATTTAACAATAAAAATAATTCATTTAAATATATGCATACACATATTTAAATATAATCTCATGTAACTCTTTCGCTCTTATATGAGTTGGTTTTTGGTAATATTGTTTGATTGGGGGTTGTGTTGAATACTTGCCCTGAATTTGGTGGAAAATAGAAGAAGTTTAGTGTTTCAAAATTATTCAAAAATTAATAATAAAAATAATATTATATTAATATTTAAAAAGAGGGCAATTTAGTAATTTAAATAACATACTTACCAATTTATTCCCTCTAACCAAACATATTAATATAACATACCCACTAACTAACCAAACACATTTTCCTAAAGATTCCCAGTAATCTTCAAAGTAATATAATATTCCAGTAATCCAATATTCCCAATAATCCAACATTCTTTGAACCGAACGCCCTCTAAGAGTTAAGAAAAGACAGGAAAAATTTCAGGACTCCCTTAAAAATAAGACAAAAATAAGGCTTCGTTTGTTACGCTATTGCGAATAAGTTAAACAGTAAAATGTCATTATTCTCAAAATATTATTCTATATTTTTTAATTTCTTTTAAACCCCCTAAATTTATTAATTTAACTAAATACCCCCAAATATTTTTTTTAGAAATTGCAAAAACACTCCGGCCACCCTCCGGCGGTGGTGGCCGGCTGTCCGTATTCAATGGATGGATTGGGGGTGTTTTTATTAACTTTTAATATTTTATTATAGGGGTATTTAGTAAATAAACAAACATAAAGGATATTTTATTAGTTTTCAAATCCTACATCGTAATACCCGCCCAATTTAACCTTTTTCAAAATATTATTTTAAAAACTATCAGAATAACGAACCAAACAGCCTAGGGTGCATTTGGTTTATTATTTTGGATAGGATTTTGGGGATAGTATTGGGTTGTTGGATAGAGGAGTATTACGAGGTAAATTTTAAAAATTTATGAAAAAGCCCTTAGGTTTACTAATTTAATTAAAGACCCTAATATGTAAAATGACAAAAACACCCCCAGAATTTTTCGTGCCAGATTCTGGCCACCATCGTCGGAATCTGGCCGAAAAATTTCGTTACGGCACAAACCGATCGGATTTGTGCCGTAACACGTCGTTATGGCCTTTTCCGGCCAGATCTACGGTCTGTTATGGCCGTTGACGGCCGGAAAAGGCCAAACGACGGCCATTTTTGGCCGTCAATCTTTGGCTGTCGTTTTCGGTCAACGATGGCCAAGATTTGGCCATCGCTGATGGCCAGATTGGTGAACTTTCGGACATTTCTGGTTGAAAGTTAGGCCGTTGTACAGATTCCGGCTATCACCGATGGTGGTTGCCGGAATCTGACAAGTTGGGTTGATGGGGGTGTTTTTGTTAATTTTTAAACTTTTTTTAGAGGGTATTTAGTGAAATTAATAACCTTATGGGGTCTAAAAGTAATTAAAAAAATAGAGTAATATTTCTGGAATAATGTGCCAAACATTATTTGGAGAATATGATCCAAAATATGGATAAAAATACTAAACCAAACATAGCCCTAAATCTTTCCATTTTCATTTCATTTCATCTTAATTTTTTGTATACATTTATATTAATAAATAATAAATGACAGCACAGAGCTCTTTATTAATCGGATTCAATATTTCAATTGCCCCAAAAAGAAAAAATAAAAAAAAATAAAAAAAGTAAAAAACACTCTCACTGCTTTCAAAAATAAAAAAATATTTCTTTTGTTTTCAAATTCCATTCATTTTAACAACAAAGCTCCAAACAAACCAAACCAAAATAAAAACAAACAAAATAAAATAAAACATTTTCGTTATTTTTTGAATTTGAAAATTTTGAATCTTTAAGATCCAAAATTGTCCCCATTATTCATTCGTTCGTCACGTTCGTTCAGTTCTTGGTTACATTGAAACGTTTCGATTTGGATCTCTTTTCAACTCGTCATGGAGGCGATCGATGAACTCGCTGAGTTGTCCGAGTCGATGCGGCAAGCCTCCGCCGTGCTTGCCGACGAAGACCTCGACGACAAGTCGACCTCCAAACTTCCTTCGACTTTCCTCAACGTCGTCGCTTTAGGCAATGTCGTAAGTTCTTTCTGCTCCGCTTTACGACGGCGTTTTTTATTTTTTTGAATTTTTCTTTTTGGATTCTTGTTATAGATCTTTGGATCTAGTGCGTTTTGAAGGATTTCAAAAGTTGAATTTCGGTGATTAAATCTGATGACATAGTGATCCAAATGAATTTTTTGATTTACTATAATGCCAATGCGAGAAATGTTGAGGAACGACGTCGTGTTTTAGGTAATTGAAAGCGATGAAAAAGTTTTTTTTGAATGATCAACGCGTTTTCTAATTCATTTGATGAATTATGAAAGTACATTATTGTAATCTGAAGATTGATCTCTTTTTTGTATTAAAATTGATTTATAATACGCACATACTCAAATTTTAGCAGAATTCAAATAAATTAATTTGGAGTTTAATTGTTTATATAAATGTGGGGGAAATGCTGCATCTAAGTTATAATTTGAAATATTTGAAATCGAATTAGTTGTAAAATATAACATGATTTCATTTTAGTAATGTAAAGCTTGATAGATAGATGCTATTGTTTTCGTTGCATTGTTGCTAGTGCGGTAATGTTACTGAGTCAGTACTGTAGTAAACTCGAAAGGCTTGTCTTGTCATGGCACTTTACTAATGACATTTTTGTATTTCATTGATCAGGGTGCTGGTAAATCTGCAATTTTGAATAGCTTGATTGGACATCCGATTTTGGTAAGTTTGTGTTTTGTTGAGAGTTTATTATATTTTCATTGATGTGTTTCTGAAATAATGTTTTTCTCTTATTTCTTTTTTTTGTGTGTTTTGACTATATAATGTGGACAGCCAACTGGTGGAAATGGTGCTACTCGGGCTCCTATATGTGTTCAATTAAACAGGGATAGCTCTTTAAGCGCTCAGGCTATTCAATTACTGATAGACAATAAATCGCAAGAAGTTTCACCAAGTAAGGCATTTTACAGATCTGCTGTGCAATTTTGTATTGCTTATTTTTTGCTTCCTTAATGGTGCTTGACATGTAGTTAGGCAGTCAACATTGCGGTTGCACATATCTTACTTTAAGATGGATTCTTGGGGTTGGCCTTTGGCTCTGATTCTTGTTGTGTCTTTCTGAATTGGTGCATTATAAGGTGCTCTTCGGCATTCTCTTCAAAATAGGCTAAGCCAAGGCGTGAGTCGTGATGAAATATATCTGAAAATTCGTACCAGTGCAGGTGATTCTTGATCTTGTTATATTTTTTTATTTGTTGTGAGTAAATTGTCAGATTTGTTGTTTATTGCAAGAGGAGAGAGGAAAAACCAAAAGTGAATTTAGAAATAACCTCAATTAGATGTGGCATCTTGCATGTTGTGAAACATGTGAAGCTTTTTATTTGATGGGCTGTAGTTTAGTTACTCTTTTGCATATTGAGTTCTTTTGAAAAATTTTAGTTGTGTAGACACCCTGACAGTCAATCATATACAATTAAAATTCTTTTATTTATAAACCTAACAAATATGACAGTAAATGTGATGGTGTACCTGGACTAAAACATGCAAGTATTTAGGCCTTTCAGAGATTGAAATAAGTTGGTGAAGAGAAGATGTGGTTGCTTGACTTCTTTACTTAGCTAGCTTTTCTGCATCCATGCCTCTCCTTGAGGTAGTGAACAAAATGGAATTACTCAAGCCTCATAACCAATGCTCAGAGTCCCTTATCAGTACCATATGGTTGACTGTTTTCTGGACCTAATTGAATTATCTCGTTGCTACATCTGAGTCAGACCTTAATATCCATTTTATAGGATTATGGTGACATTCAAAAGTTTTCCTCCCAATCTTATAGTTCAGAGGGTGTGTAAACTGTTATTTTTGTTCTTGATGAATAAAATCTCGTCCTAATTATAAATTTATAACTCATGAAGATTCTAACTAATAATAGAAATGTTTAAAATAGTCTGTCCCTCTTTTGGCCTTGTGTACCAAATGAGGCATTAGAAGAGATAAAGCAAGAAATGTTTTTGGAGGAGAATAGATGGAAATAGTGATTTGATAAACCATTTAACAAGGTTTCTTAGTTTTTTCCAGGTGTTCACACTGATAGGAGAAGGAATCAACCACACAGCATAAACATGAACTAGAAACAATTTATTCCAAGGGTGAAATGTTTGAAGCTTGAGCATGGTTTACCTGTCATTTAAAATTCCAGGTCTATCTTTCTTTAAGGTTGAGCAGAAATCTTAGATGCAAAAGTTAAAGAAACTTACAAAAGAAGACTTCAGCTGGCTGTTAATTGGTTTCTTAGGGCTTATAATTTAGTTTCTATTAGGATGATTGCAGTATAGTACTAGTAGATAAGACTTGGGCTAAGTTTACTGGATTTTCTTATGGGTTAAGCCTAGTTACTTTATCATGCAATGTGGACCCAAGTGACGCAGGATTTAGGAAATTTATTATTAAAAAGCTGATAACTATTGATTCCTTTTCTTTCTTGTGGTTAATTTTAAGTTTTTAGGCTCGAAGTTCTTGTATTCAAGTCATTTTTGCTTAGAAGTGTGGAGGTAGATCTTCAAGTTCTTTTGGCCATGATCCAAAACTGTTATGGGTCTAGTAGTTTATATAACAGATTGGTATCCAAAGCTACACCAATAACTCAATACATCGAGAAGAACCATTCAGTACTTATGTTGAAATTTTGTTTTGGGAATATGTGAATTGCAGATAGTTCTATATGTCCCTGATTTATTTGAATTTTTGTTGAAATACATTAATGAATTACATGAGATGAGTGGGCTATGAGTAAATATTATCTGTATCACCCACCCTTGATTTAGCAAGGTTCACCTGAGCACAATGTTATATAAAGTATCTTTTAACTGATTGGATGGCAGTTCTTGGTGAATGAACAAAAGAATGTATCCATCTTTATTTCTATCTCTTCAGAGCAATTTACCCATTTGTTTTAAATGGTTATATTTCTCTTAGCAATCTTTAAAAGGGATTTTTTGTCTTTACTTTCTGCAGCTCCGCCTTTGAAGTTGATTGACTTACCTGGATCAGATCAAAGAATTATGGATGATACAATGGTGAGTAGTTGAATGCTATCTCTTTAGTTTTAACATCATACAGTAAGTTATTGAATGGCCTCTACTTTTGTTTTTTGTTTTTCCCTTTTTTTTATATGGTTCATAATAAGCTCTTTGTTGCATAATTGTTCAGATATATATTCAGTTGCAAGATGCTCATGCTGGAAGTTCATTTGATATTTCCATCTTAATGTGTTTTTTTCAGATTAGCAAGTATGTTGAGCACAATGATGCTATTTTGCTAGTTATTATACCTGCTACCCAAGCACCAGAAATTTCAGCATCTCGAGCTCTCAAAATTGCGAAGGAATATGATGCAGAGAGTGGGTCTATTGTTAAATTGCATCTTCTTATCCCTGTGTTTGAAAAGAATTATAAAGTCAGTGTATTCTTTAACTCTTTTATTTTTTTGTTTATTTAAAATTTATTATAGGTACTAGAACAGTTGGTGTTATTAGTAAAATTGATCAAGCAGAGGGAGAACCAAAAGCACTTGCAGCTGTTCAGGCTCTCCTAATGAATCAGGGTCCACCAAAAACATCTGATATTCCATGGGTTGCTGTAATTGGTCAATCTGTCTCTATAAGTTCTGCACCATCTGGAAGTGCTGCATCAGAGAGCCCTTTAGAAGCTGCTTGGCGAGCTGAGATAGAAACACTAAAAAAGTCGCTGACTGGAGCTCCTCAAAATAAGCTTGGTAGAATTGCTTTGGTGGATGCCATTGCTGGGCAGATGCGTAATCGTATGAAAGTCAGGCTTCCAAATCTCCTTTCTGGGTACATACTTACATGCTGCTTTGATTTTTGTGTAACATAATTTATTTTAAAATTTTATACAATTTGTTATAATTCAACTATCCTTTGGTGATGTTTACATTTTATGTCATTAAGACTAATAGGAATATTCTCATTTTTGTTGAAAAACTTGGTCATTGGGAGAATTTATACAAAGAATTGAAAATTCTAATATATGAGTGCTGCTTGAAGATTATTTATGAAGATGTTGGATTTCACTGCATTCCAATTTCAGGACTGATTTGTAGCTATATGTAAGAGTTGACTTTAAGCTTTGGAATGTATGTACATAGGAGACTTTATATGCAAATTGCCTTTTGAATGTATCTTCCTATACTTTCTTTGCAGGCTTCAAGGTAAGTCTCAAATGGTTCAGGATGAATTAGTGAGGCTTGGTGAACAATTGGTTGATAGTTCAGAAGGTACAAGGGCTTTAGCTTTGCAGCTGTGCCGTGAATTTGAAGACAAGTTTCTCCTGCATTTAACAGGCGGTGAAGTGAGTTGTTGTTTCCTTTAAGATCTATATGCATATTTGTTGATTAATACTGCAAAACAAGAACAAAATGGAAAGGTGTAGGACTTAGTATGAACTCTGTTCTGCAACCAATATATTTCTTGTTGACAATTTTCCTTTGCTTCAGGGTAGTGGTTGGAAAGTTGTTGCAAGTTTAGAGGGCAACTTTCCTAACAGGATCAAGCAACTCCCCTTAGATAGACATTTTGACATAAACAATGTGAAGAGGGTAGGTCTCCACTTCCAAATTCATTCTGTTTATATCTCTCATTTACTGATATTCTCTTGAGGTGCTCTGCGTTTACATTGACTGGTTTTAATTGTACTAGGTTGTCCTAGAAGCAGATGGTTATCAACCTTATCTTATATCTCCGGAGAAAGGGTTAAGGTCTTTAATAAAAAGTGTCCTTGAGATGGCAAAGGAACCATCACGTCAGTGCATTGATGAGGTATGTACCATCAATACTCTACCAGAAGTTAGATTTCTAAACATGTTTCTAAGTACAGCAACTATTGGGTTTTCACTTTGTCTGTTGGTTTGTCTGCCATGCAGCTCATTATGGGTTTGATATTTGTATGTGACTGAATCTCTGTAGTCTATTGGGAAATATTAGGACGTCAAATATCATATAATGTGGTTGGACCAAAAATTATGTATAATTGTTATCTGCATATGATTGCAGCATTTTATTTCACTTGATTACTTTTTGTGTTGCAATGCTCCTAGCTTCTTTGATCCTCAATATCAAATTTATGCACTATCTTTTCTTGCAATGGGTGTTTTTTCTGATTGATAAATGAAGTATTAATACCTACTATTTTCTTCAGCTTAATGAACCAGCCACATATTCCCACCCTTCTGATCTAACCATATGTGCTTCATGCTTTATTTTTCTTGGTTTACTCTTTATACTAATTTTGGATGGTGGATGAATCAGGTGCATCGTGTATTGGTGGATTTAGTTTCTTCAGCCGCAAATGCCACTTCTGGTCTTGGAAGATATCCTCCTTTTAAGAGAGAGGTAACAATGTCTTCCAGCTTATAATATTTCTTGTCAAGATCTTGTTTGGTTATCATCTCAGTTTCTCTACAAATTTTAACTAGGTTGTGGCAATTGCAACTGCTGCACTGGATGGATTTAAGAATGAAGCAAAAAAGATGGTAGTTGCACTGGTTGATATGGAGCGTGCGTTTGTTCCACCTCAACACTTCATCCGTTTGGTGCAAAGGCGGTATGTTCTCAAAGATACTTTTATCAATCTTAAGTTTTTTTCATTAACGAAACAATTCCTATATGTTATGACATTTCCTTGTGTATACATTTAATACTATATTTTTTGGGAAATATTTTGCTCCAATTGATTGAGCTGTTTTCCTTTGTTATATTGTGCGGTTGTTGATGACAACTTTTGGCTAGGGTGCACTATTTTGCCAATTCTTATGTGTAATATATACAGAATGGTCTCAGGTTCTGTATTGTAAGCATTCAGTTCAGTTTGTAAAGGAGTTGGCCTGTTTATATTTTTGATAAGACCTAGATTGATATATTCATATATAAAAAGATTTACTAAAAGGTGTACAATGTTGTCTGCAAATAGACTAGTCAGAAACTAGGTTTAGACAACTCAAAAGCATAAACAAATAATTCTGGAACAAATTATTTAAATTTCATTATTTCACCATAATTGTGTGTGGTTGAGTGTCATCTGTTTCTTTATTTTTCCATTGATTTTTCCCTGTTTGATATGTAGTAATCTTTTGGCCTGCTTTTGTTCATTTGATTGTTCCACATTGAAATTTTCACCAGAATGGATAGACAACGTCGTGAGGAAGAGCAAAAGAGCCGATCCTCAAAGAAGGCAGTGGAGGCAGAGCAGTCCTTACTGAATAGGGTGTGGGATATTTACTTTCTCTAAGCTATGTTGTGTGCTTGAGTTACGTGATATTGTATTGAAAGTAAGTTTGTTGCTGTTGCATTTGACAATTTTCCTTGCTTTCATCTTAGGCAACTAGCCCCCTAACAGGTGGACAACAATCTGGAGGAAGCTTGAAATCAATGAAAGATAAATCTGGTCAACCAGATAAGGATGTGACAGAGAGTTCAACAACCTTAAAGACTGCAGGGCCTGGTGGTGAGATAACAGCAGGTTTGTGCACAAACATATTAAACATTAGGGCTAAAAACTGTTAAATATACATTCCTGCTCCTTTACATTTTCATACCAGTAGTGGTTAAAAATTCATCATTTTAAGTAGATAGTATTGAAGGTAATAAAACCCCCACCTTACGGCCATAAGATCACTTCATGCATTGCTAAGAGGAATGCGGCTTGTGAGGACCTGCTTCTGTTTCTTGATGGTTCTTATTTATGTGCATTAATACTTAAGCTGCTTTGTCACAAGTTTTAGCTTGTCAAGATTGTTCTTCAGTCGACATCTTGGGAAACCAAAGGTCATAATTAAATTTAATGGAAGCCACAGAATATGGTTTCTAATGTACAAATATTAAATTTGAGATACTTATGTTAAGCCTTGTTCTAATATAAATTATGTTAAATTTTTAGCTTTTGATATTAGTGGTTCCTCAATATTGTATCACAACCAAGCTATTCAAGAGGCCTTGTATTTGAATTCCCCATTCTGTTCATTAAATTATAAAATGGGGCATTCAGTTCGTGTTTGGATGCACATGAGAAGACTATTATTAAATTTGACCAAGCATCTGGGTTGGGGGCAATGTAAATGTCAATATCAGGACTTCTATGACAAAGTTAAGCTTTTGGGATTAGTTATTCCTCAGGGTTCTTGTTCTTATACCTCAAGTTTAGTACGCCTTTTGCTAATAACTTGTCAAGCTCTCAAGTCCACTTCTATTTATTGTGTGCCCCTTTGGAAAGCTTATTCCCTTTTGTCTGTCCTTAGTCAAAATTTGTTGCAACATTTTCAGCATCCACGAGTTTTAAGTCCACTTCTATTATTGTGTGCCCCCTTTGGAAAGCTTATTCCCTTTTGTCTATCCTTAGTCAAAATTTGTTGCAACATTTTCAACATCCACGAGTTTTATTGCTGTATTATATTTATTTAAACTTTTAGTCCGATAATATTTTTATGATATATAAGGGCTACATATTCTTTTTTGCCTTGTCATTGGTTTTATCCTGTATCTGCAGGATTTTTGTTGAAGAAAAGTTCTAAAACAAATGGGTGGAGCAAGAGATGGTTTGTTTTAAATGAGAAAACTGGCAAGGTTAGCAGTTAGAATTTTAGCTCATGAATCAAGATTTTATGTTGTTTGAACCTATTCAATTTGTTGTTCTGAAATGATCTGGTGCCATGCTGGATAGTTCAAGTACCTTTTGCACTATTTTGTCTTGTTTTTTAAATGTGATATGTTCGATTTTGAAACTTCTGCAATATCCTTTTTTTTTATTGTCACATTAATATGTGTCTCTTCCTTCATCTTGAAATTCTGCTCCACTATGAAAAAGCTTTTTTTACATGAAAGAGAAGTTAGAGGCTGTTACTTTTAATGCCAATTCAGTATCTTCTAAATCATTGGATTGCTTAGATCAATGACCAAGAATGTCTGTCACAAATTTGTGTTATAATGCTTGATCCTGATATGTATTGTAGGTGAGGATATAGTAGACTTTTTTCTTTTGGATTAGAAATAAAAAGGAATTTACGAAATGATCAGAGAAAGGCAACAAATAATCATTTATTGTATTTCTTGTATTATGATCAGAAAATAATACATCAATATATAGGAAAATAAAGAACTAATCTAGGAAACAAATAATCTAATCTAGGAAATGAATAATCTAACTTCCTATTTTACAGATTTTGTTCTTAATATATATTGATTACAATCCTAATATCCTAATATAGAATTATACACTTCAACACTCCCCCTCAAGCTGGAGCATATAAGTCATATGTACCAAGCTTGCTACAGATAAAATCAATGCGCGGACCCCTGAGAGATTTAGTGAGGATGTCTGCTAACTGGTCTTTGGAACTGGCATGACTAGTGGTAATACATCTAGATAGAACTTTTTCCCGAATAAAATGACAATCAATTTCTATGTGCTTAGTCCTCTCATGAAATATTGGATTAGAGGCAATATGGAGAGCAACTTGATTATCACAGAGTAACTTCATTTGTGACACTTCTACAAATTTCAACTCTTGGATAAGTTGCTTTAACCAAATGAGCTCACAAGTAGCTAAGGCCATTGCCCGTTATTCAGCTTCTATGCTTGATCGGGCAACAACAGCTTGCTTCTTACTTTTCCAAGACACTAGGTTTCCTCTAATAAAAACGCAAAAACCTGAAGTAGAACGTCTAACAGATGGAGACCCTGCCTAATCAGCATCAGAATATCCAACAATATGCGAATTACCCGTGTTCTCATATAACAAGCCTTTGCCTAGTGCACCCTTTATATACCTTAAAATCCGAACAACTGCATCCCAATGACTATCACATGGAGACTGTTGGAACTGACTTACAACACTAATAGAAAATGAAATATCAGGTCGTGTGATAGTGAGATAATTAAGTTTACCAACCAGTCTTTGGTATCTTCCAGGATCAGCCAGTGGCTCCCTCTGTCTAGGTGAGAGTTTTAAGTTAGGATCCATAGGAGAGTTTATTGGTCTGCAATTTGACATTCCTATTTCTTCAAGAATATCTAGTGCATACTTTCTCTAAGAGATAACAATACCAGATTTGGATTGAGCAACTTCTATACCAAGGAAGTATTTAAGAAGTCCTAAATCTTTGGTTTGAAAGTGTCTGAATAAATGCTTCTTCAATTGTTCAATACCATCTTGATTACTTCCTGTAATGACAATGTCATCAATATAGACAACCAGATATATATATTGCCCTGGTGTTGTATGTCTATAAAAAACAGAATGATCAGACTCGTACCAAATCATACCAAACTCTTGGATAACAGTACTGAATCGTCCAAACCAGGCACGAGGAGACTGTTTCAAACCATAGAGAGAATAACAGAGTTTGCATACCAAGGCAGACTCCCCCTGAGCAACAAACCCAGGAGGTTGCTCCATATAAATATCTTCCTAAAGTTCACCATGAAGAAAGACATTCTTAATATCCAATTGCTGTAGAGGCTAATGTTGAATAATAGCCATTGCTAAGAATAAGCAAACAGAAGACATCTTAGCAATTGGGGAAAAAGTATCAAAATAATCTATTCCATGTATCTGAGTGTAGCCCTTGGCAACCAATCGGGCCTTTAAGTGATCAACTTGACCATCAAGACCAACTTTGACCGTATAAATCTAGCGACACCCAACAGTCGAATGTCCTAGAGGTAATGGAACTAACTCCCATGTGTGATTATGATGCAAAATAGTCATTTCATCAACTATTGCCTGACGCCATCCAGATCAAAGAGTGCCTCATGAACACTTGAAGGGATAGAAACAGAAGAAAGTGTGGACACAAATGCATAATATGATGAAGATAAACGATGATAACTTAAAAAATTATAGATCGGATGAGGGTTGCAAGTTAACTGCATACCTTTACGAATGACAATGGGAAACTGATCAGCAGGAGAGAGGACCGTGGCATTGGAGGAATCAGGAGCAGGACTGACATCGACAGGAGCCTCAGGGGTGCCGGATTAGGAGTAGTACCTGTAAATGGAACAAGACTATGGTCTGTAATGGGAGACTCGGTAGTAGAAGACTGTGGGGCTATGACAGACTCCATAAGATTGGTAATGGACGGTATGGGAAGGATCGCGGTTATTTACTCACAATCTAAGGTAGAAGAAGAAAAGAATGGAGACAACTCAAAAAACGTAACTTTAGCAGAGAGAAAATAGTGATGTGTTGATGGAGAATAACACTTGCATCCTTTCTGAAGACGTGAATACCCTAAGAAAATACACTTAGTAGATTTAGCTGTCAGTTTGTCCTGACCAGGAGGGAAAACATGGACAAAGCATGTGCACTCAAAAACACGAGGAAGGATAGAATACAACGATTGATCAGGAAATAAAATGGAATGAGGTACCTTGTCGTTGAGGACAGAAGAGGGCATCCGATTTATTAAGAAACAGGTGGTCAAAACAGTGTCCGCCCAAAAACGAAAAGGGACTTTATTATGTAAAAGCAGGGTACAAGCAATTTCAATGAGATGTCTGTTTTTACACTCAGCAACCCCATTTTGTTGTGGGGTATAAGCACAAGAGGACTGATGAAGGATTCCCTGAGAAGACATGAATTTAGTAAAGGGATCAGAGAAATACTCGCGAGCATTATCACTGTGTAATACTCAAATAATAGAATTAAATTGACTCTTAATTTCTGCACAAAAAGATTCAAAGATGGAAAATAACTCGAAACGAGTTTTCATTAGGAATAACCAAGTACAGCGTGAGTAATCATCAATAAAGGTAACAAAGTACTGAAAACCTAAAACAGATGACACACGACAGGGTCCCCACACATCTGAATGAACTAACTCAAAAGCGGATGTAACCCGTTTATTGACATGCTTTGGAAAGGTGCTACGAGAATGTTTTCCAAGCTGACATGACTCACAATTTATAGACGACAAATTAGATAGACCAGGATGCATCTTTTTAAGCTTTACTAAACTAGGATGACCCAAATGATTATGAAGGAGTGCTAGAGATTCAGTGACAGTGCATGCTATAGATGGTAGATGGAGATGATAGAGGGCCTGTGACTCATGTCCTGTACCAATCATCCGTCCCATGCCTCGATCCGGTATAACAACAAAGTCAGTATCAAAAGATATAGAACAATTTAAAGAGCGGGTAAGTTTACTGACAGAGACAAGATTAAATAGACGATTGGGAATATAGAGAACATAGTCTAATTCTAAGGATGGAACTAGTTTGGCATGACCTACAACTTTAACAACAGCTTTGGAGCCATTGGCTAAAGTAACGGATGGCAAAGATGCAACATTAGAGTAAGGGTTACCAAAAATGTGATCAGAGGCACCCGAGTCAAGAACCCAAGGTCCAAGAGAAGAAGACTGAGTAAGGCATGCAACTGAATTAGCCGATTGAGCGATAAAAGGCAATAGATGAAGAAAACTGCTTATTTGCTTGAAATTGGAGGTATTCTTTATAATCAGCCCCAGTGAGAGTTAATGATGGTTGAGTGTGTCCTTTAGGAGAGTTAGAATAAAGATCAACCTGAGCAACATTAGCGTTCCGAGTAGGGCGACCATGTAATTTGTAGCATTTTTCCCTAGTATGCCCCCAACGATGACAGTAACTACACTTGGGTCGTCCGCTTTGACCACGATCTCCCTGTTCTCCTTTATAAGTAGTTTGAGATTGAGAAGCCAGAGCAAAAGAGTCAACAGCGATAGAACCGGGGACAGTACTTGGGGATGAAACCCAAACTAACCTAGCAAATACTTCATCAAGAGATGGCATAGTAGCGCTAGCTAAAATTTGGTCTTATACAGGAGTGAGATCAGGACTAATAGCAGCAAGGTTTAGAACCATGAATAATTTATCTTATTGTGCTAGATCTTCTGCAGCAGATTTACCAACGGGTAGAAGAAGATTGTAGTCTGCCTTGAGGGAGGCCATCTTACCAAGAAAATCTGACATACTCATATCCTGTTGTTTTAGATGAATGAGATTGGCCACAACGGAATACAAGCGTTGAATATCATTGGTATATAGTAGTTTAGCCTGACTCCATATCTCACAACATATGCAGTATGTTTTGTAAATGGGATGCAGATTAGTGTCAATGGATTGCCATAATAGATAACACAATTAAGCATCAGTTTTGATCCAGGAAGACTTATCTGATGTGATGTCGGTAGCCTTTGTGGTCAGGCGATCCTCTAGACCTTGACTTGTACACCATAACTCGACAGAGGCAACCCAAGAAGAATAATTTGCACTCCCAATCAACTTATTAGTGGTGATTAGTAGGAGAGACAAGAAAGAAAAACCACTGGAAGTGGAGTTTGAGTTGGAAGTAACCATGATAATTAGCAAATCTGACCGGAAACCAGAACCAAAAGTAACACGGAGCAAACAAACAAATCGGAGCAAAAGATCCGGCGAGGATAGCGGTAGAATCCGGTGAAGCTGTCGGAGTTTGACGTTGAAGGCAATAGAACCTTAGCGGGTTTTGCTCGCCGTCGTCTTCTGAGCAAGCTGGTGCCGATGGTGAGAACTGACGCTCACTGGAAAAGGAGATCAAAGTTGGATATATCGGAAAGAAACACCATGCGTGGAGGCGCGTGCGGTAGCTGATGACGACGATCTTTGTGAGGTTCTGCCAGCGAGATGGAGACGATGGGACACGTATGGTCAGATGGAGGTTCTGACCACCGGAGAGAGACGCTTAATTGTTGCCGGAAAAAAAAAATTTTAATTTTTTGACAACCTAACTTTGATACAATGTGAAAAATTAGAGAGAACTAATAGTGTGTTTGTATTTCTTGTATTATGATCAGAAAACAATACATCAATATATAGGAAAATAAAGAACTAATTTAGGAAACAAATAATCTAATCTAGGAAATGAATAATCTAACTTCCTATTTTACAGATTTTGTTCTTAATATGTTTGATTACAATCCTAATATCCTAATATAGAATTATACACTTCAACAGATAGATTATCTATGCAAATTCCAATGGTATACTAAAAAAAAAAAATTGATCGTAATGTTTGAGAAAACATGTTATGGACATTTTCTTTTTCTATTAATTGTTTACCTGCTACTTTGATAATTTTAAATAAGGCTACTGCCATCTCTATCATTGCTACTGATTTTGCCTTTATAAGAGAGAAAATGAAGATCTTTGCTATTGTTCTGATGATAATTTTTATTCTCCTAATTAATGCTGGTCTTAACATCACCCTTACATGCAGCTTGGCTATACCAAAAAACAAGAAGAAAGACATTTCCGTGGTGTGATCTCCTTGGAGGTATGAAGTGCCTGTTAAGAATATTATCTTCTTTCTTCTAGATGCTGAGTATTGCATTTTATGTTTATACAAATTTGCTAACTTGAATTAGTTTTTCTCTTCGCTTCATGAGTTTTAATGGCGGATTGACATTTGTTCAGTGTTTTCTTATTACTATCACTTGGAAATATGTGGATTCATTTTGTGACTTCTTTTTAAGATACAATGTTGTGTGTTCTAACATTTTCTTTCATGGGCTTTGTGTCTAGAGAACAACTGGATGATCCAATTCCAAATTTTATTACTTATCTACAAGAGCAAAAGAAAATTTTATATTATTTAAATATTCAAACTCAGTGGTTACAATGAGTTTAGAAAGTACTTGGAATGCTCCTAGATTCATCAATAATATAGGTCTAAAGAAAATGTCTTATAGTTTGGTTAATAATGATGGTCACTAATGCCACAAGGAAAAGTTTGATAAGGATGTAACTTCAGATTAAGAAACAAATAAAGTTTTTATGTCATGTCTTGAGCTATATTTTGGTTGCTTTGTTGGTATTATCTGTAGGTGAGGGAAAACATGTGCTTGTATCTAGTTTAGGGGCAAAGAACGTAGTTTTATCCTTGGTATAAATTAGAAGTATTATTCCTTAGCACTTGTTTCTTTTTCATGCCTAAAATTGTGTCACATGTTTCAGGAGTTGATCATATTTTATCTTGGAATTGTTTAGTGTTGATAATATTTTATTAATTTGGATATTATGTTGAATCTATTATCTTCCGGGTTGACATGGCATTATAAGTATCTGAGATTGAATGTGATAAGATGTAGTTTAATATTATGTGGTTCTTAGCCTTTGAATCTTTGAGTTTCGGGTTGATGCTCACAGTGAAATTTTAACTTGTCTTCTATGCTAATTGCATTATCGTCCGACCTTTTAATTAAATGTTCAGGAATGCAATGTTGAGGAAATGTCTGATGAGGAAGATGCTTCTTCATCAAAGAGCTTGAAAGATAAAAAGGCTAGTAAAGCAGAAAAAGGACCCAGTCTTCTTTTCAAGATCACAAGCAGGATTCCATATAAGACTGTTATGAAAGGTAGAAGGTTCAGATCTAGATTGCCTCTATTATTTTTTACCTTTTTGGGGCTGATTTTTTTTTTTTTTTCCGCTCCTATATGGTTACACTACAATGTACAATAAAAATTATCATTTTGCAGCTCACAGTGCTGTTCTGTTAAAGACTGAGACTGTGCAAGAAAAGGTTGAATGGATAAACAAGCTGAGAAATGTGATCCAGTCTAGAGAAGGTGATGTGAGTGTTAGGGGTGAACCTGGTCTTCCCATGCGGCACAGTCATTCCGATGGCTCACTGGTGAGTCTGAAAAAGTATCTAAAAATGTCAAATTTAGTCAGTTACATGATGCTTGTAGTTGCTTGTTGTGTAACTTTGTGGCATTGCTTGATGCAGATAACTTTATTGTTTCTTTTGATTCACTCTAGGTTTTTGCTTCCTTTGGGAACGTATTTTCCTTGAAATAATCGGGATCAGTTTTCATTCATGAATAAGTGAAATTCTACTTGTTCTTTGTAGATCATCAGCTGCATCACATATAAATTTATAAGAATTCATAATTAAACTATAACTATGCTTTTCCAGTATCTGCTCTTTTGTCCGTTTTGGAGCTCGGGATTCTTTAGTTCACTGTATATTCATTAACATATAAAATAGTATTTTCCTGAGCTCTTGTTCAATTGTTTCTGCAACCTTTTGGGTTTTTATCTGATCATTATGCTAATTCATAACATCTGTAGGAAACAATGGCTAGAAGACCTGCAGATCCAGAAGAAGAGCTTCGGTGGATGTCTCAAGAAGTACGTGGTTATGTCGAAGCTGTTCTTAACAGCCTTGGTGCCAATGTGCCAAAAGTCAGTTTGTTCGCTCGAATTCCTGCATCATTTTATCGTTATCTCTTTCACCAAAATGGTTATATTCATATATTTTCTGTCAATGTTTTGAATGAGCAGGCAGTCGTTCTTTGCCAAGTAGAGAAGGCCAAGGAAGACATGCTTAACCAGTTATACAGTTCTATAAGGTTAGCACCTTCTTTTCATTCTCGTTGGTGTCCATTGACAAGTAATAAGATATAATTTTGTTTTCATGTCAACTTGGTTCTAAAGAAACAACTTTATGTTCATGCATTGATGCTTAGTGCCCAAAGCACGCAAAGGATTGAAGACCTACTTCAGGAGGACAAAAACATGAGAAGTAAGAGGGAGCTTTGCCAGAAGCAGTCTGCCCTTCTTTCAAAACTCATGAGCACACTCAGCGTCCACGACAACCGAGCAGCCGCTGCCACCAGCTGGGCTAATAGTGGTGTTGGAGCAGGTAATTTTGGCTGAACAATTCGCAGTGTTTTTGATGTACAGTTATGGCGATAATGCATTCAGGGTTATTTTCACTTCTACAAGAAAATTGCTTTGAAAGCAAACTCATTTTAAAAGTAGGAACTCCTGTAATTTTAAAGCTTAAACTTTTGGTGTCACTGTCCACTATACATTTATTTCAAAATCCTTTATGCTTTAGATGCTATTTTCTCTGATGCAGGACTCTTTATTGGTAGTTTTACATTCTGATATAAAGAGATTTCATGTTTTGTTACACTTAAAACTCCGTCTGGTTTTGTTTTTCGAAACCTTCCATTTCCTTTAATTCCACCAACTTCTGTTCTAATTACTTACAGAAAGCAGCCCAAGAACACCTGCTTCAGGTGGTGATGACTGGAGGGCTGCATTTGATGCTGCTGCAAATGGTCGCGCTGACTCATTCAGGTCCAGGTCAAATGGCCACAATCGGCGATACAGTGATCCACCCCAGAACGGTGACGATACATCAAGCTCACACTCAAGCCGCCGCACACCTAATCGATTGCCACCAGCACCACCACCACAATCAACTTCACCATACAGATATTAGGTAAGCTTTAGACCCAAAAAATATTATTCATGCATTCTTGTCGAGCGTCGTGGGTGTTCTGTCTTGTCCCATCTTGCTCCATATTTGAGCATTTCCCAAGCTCAAAATTATTTTACTGTAGCATTGTAGACGTAGAATAGATTCATTTGTAGATATATAATATTGCAGTTAGTATGGTCTGATTTTGATATGTAATTTCGATATCATGTTCATTGATATTACATATTGATTTCTTTGTCATGTATTTGTTTGTATTGAATCTTAATGAGCAAAGTAATTTTTTTTTTTTTCGCTATACAAATTTATGTTACATAAAATTAATGAAAAAATTCATAAAATAATATTTAATAATAAGACATAATGTTAGAACGGTGACGATAGGCCGCACAGTGTTTTAAAACCTGACTCAGTCCGATCGGTTAAACCGGTTCAAGACCTGGGAGCTTCATTGGGTTGGGTTAACACCCTGTTCACTCAAAATCCTAAAATTTGGGATGATGATTGGTGAACAATTGAATGTTGGGATGTTGAGGCTTTTGAAGAGAAAGTGCTGATGAGTGCAATGTTGACGACGAAGATGATTTCCGGTGAGTGAATCGATTGGAAATTGAAAAAAATAGGCAGCTGCAACAGGTGGTTTTCATCGGCAATTGTCGAGGCTAATGGGGGTGGGGTAAAGTGGAATTTAGTTGGGAGACGGATGAGAGTATTTTCGAGGTGATGGGGAAGGTTGTCGACGTTGACATCGATGAGATATGGCTTAGAATGTCAACGCTAACGTTGGTGAGATCTAGCCTGGAATGTTGACGCTAGCGTCGGTGAGATTTGACTTAGAATGTTAACACCGAGGTCGATGAGATGTTCGATTTCGACCAGATCTTAGGTAGGTTTTTTGGAGAATGAGCTCAGGGATGATTGAGATTGCATTTGTGATGTTGTCACTATCAACCAGTAGACTGTCGATTTGTATTTGGGCTGTGTTTGTTAAAATTCAAACATGTAGGAACTTGTCAGGGGTATATTTGTTGAATTTTAAAAGTTGTCACTCTGTTTGATCGACTGGTTAAACCGGTCAACTCGGGACTTGACAACTTGGTTGGGGGTTTAAAACATTGTCGCCGCACACCTAATTGCCACCGCGATTAACTTCACCATAAGATATTAGGTAAGCTTTAAACCCATCAAATATTATTCATGCATTCTTGTCAAGCGTCGTGGTTGTTTTGTCCTGTCCCGTCCTGCTCCATATACCATATTTGAGCATTTGTCAAGCTCAAAATTATTTTACCGTAGAGTTGTAGACGTACAATAGATTCATTTGAAGATATATTATTGCAATTAGTACGGTTTGATCCTTATATGTAATTTGGATATTATGCTCATTGCTATCACATTTTGATTTCTTTGTCATGTATTTGTTTGTATTGAATCTTAATGCTATACAAATTAATGTAACATAAAATGAATAAAAAAAAGTCATAAAAATTTATGTAATAATAAGATGTAATGTTAGATAGGTTTGTATATCGGATGAAGTTAATTTTAGTATCAATAATAATAAGGATGGTAATAATATTATATTAGTAATATTAACATTAGATATTATTAATAATTGATATTATTATAATGATATTAATAATTTAATATTAACAAATTTGACTGCCCAGGTGAAACTAATTTATAATTAAATTTAATGAAATTAATAATAACATTATTCATAATATTAGCATTAATAATATTATTATTATTATTATTATAATAACATTATTTTGCTTAGTAGTTACTACACTTTTACTACTAAGCAGGAAATGCGGAAGCGAAGAGCATATAAAAATTGATTATCATGGTAATTTACATATTTTAAAATCGTAATTCTAATTATGTACATGAAATTATGGTAAAATTATACTTATAAGAAGTAGAAGTTGAAGATGGATAAAAATAATGCCAATTACCCTTCTATTCCATCTTTGAAGGGACCAGAATCTTGTAAGAACTTCATAACAAGCCTAACCTGCAAATTGAAAGTAATAATTTAGATAGATGTCAGAGACTCAAAGTAGAGCAACTAATTTGACTTAAACTGTTCACACCGTCCACGAGGATCCAATGGTTGAGAAGGTATTAAGTCGATATTAAAAGTATTTAATTCCCGTTCAAACCTAATGCATTAATGGTTCTAAACTTATGACAGATTAAAAATATTTTACATCTACTAGAAAACCTCAAAATTTGGATATATTTACAAGAAAACTTTGAAAATTGACATTTTTCAACAACCCTTTATAACCCGTCTTTTTGGAGGAAAAAAAGAAAAACTCATAACTTAATAACTTTCTGAAAGAAAACCTCAAAATTTGGATATATTTACAAGAAAACTTTGAAAATTGACATTTTTCAACAACCCTTTATAACCTGTCTTTTTGGAGGAAAAAAAGAAAAACTCATAACTTAATAACTTTCTGAAAGAAGAGAATTGATAAACATAGAAAGAGCATGACTAGTTGTCATCTATAAATGAATTGGTTAAGAAGCGGAGCGTCCACATCAAAATACCAATACAAGGATATGTGTTTATGTATGGAAGTACCTGAGTTGCTTCGCGCACTAGAAACTCCTCTATGGGTTTCCTGAAACTTTCATCCACAAGGTAATGACAGCTGTAAGTTGTCACAGGCATATAACCTCGCTGAAGTTTATGCTCGCCCTGAGCTCCGGCTTCAACCGTGTTCAGATCAAGCTCGATAGCTGCTTCTATTGCCTGAGACTCAAAACAAAGCCTAAGTAAATAAACTGTGTTTTGTAATCTTTCTATCTGTATTAAAATCCGAAAGACGAAACTTGTTGCCATGACTTGTTTCTTTCGGTTCCTTACTCTCATTGGTCATATAGATTTTAAAACTTTGAGATCCTTACTCTCATAGGTCATATAGATTTTAAAACTTTGAGATCCTTACTCTCATAGGTCATATAGATTCTAAAACTTTGAGATGAGGACATGCATAAGATCAATAGCCATGATCTAAAATTCTCCCATTATTTTCATCAAGTGTTTTTTTTCCAGGTTATTCCTCTATTTAAATTGTTTTAGAGTTGAGAAAGAAGCAAAAGTGCAAGTTTAATACAAATTTTTGTATAATTAAAATATAAACCTGGTAATAGCATGCTTCAAAATGCAAACTTGGATAATAGGCTCCAGGATGACAACCCCATAGACGACCAAATAGAGTATCTGCCCCGATAAGATTTAGAGCTCCTGCAACAAGTTCATCCCCTTCTTCAGCAACAACAAGTAATACATCGTCTCCCATCTTTGATCCCATATTGTGGAAGAAATCCCTTGTTAGATAAGGACTACCCCACCTATGGAAAAATCACCGACATATGTAAGATATGACATTCCAAACATCTCAAAATGCTTCAAAAAATTTCAAATAAAATAGCAAATCTAAGACGGTATAAGTACAGAAACTTGACCAATCAGAACAATATATATATAAAGAATCAGCACTGCTCCATGGGGATTTGCCTTTTCTAACTAAAGTTTTGGAAAATAAATATTATGTTTCTTTTTTACAATACATATAAGCAAAACAAGTAGAAAGGGTTAATGATAAGCAACAAACTTGTTATCAGTGGTGTTTCTGTAGAATTGATAGAAGGAATCCCAGTGCCTAGCCTGCCATGACAACCATTCAAAAGTTAAGGTAAGTAACTCGAAGTTCAGGAACCCTCAAAAGAAGGAAAAGTTATTAGCCTCACTGAATTACTTTTATACTATGCATACTTCAACCAAACAAGTATTAAAAAACAGAAGCTTAAGCGCTTGCACTATCAAATAACTTGTTAACCATCAAATTTAGGCATTACTCAAAGAACTTTCCAATGACAGAATTCATACCAGCTCTATACTATAACTTTTTAGTAAGCATTTAACAACTTATCGTGTCACCCATCCAGGATTCATTCTTTTTGAGATTTTGCAACAGATGACTCAACGCCAAGATATGGTAGAGCTAACAAATAATACAACCAGAAGCAGACAATAGGACTGCTACTAAATACCTTTATTTCATAACCTCGGAGCCGTTTCATAGTCAAGTTCTGTGCAGGAATCTGCGTATAAAAGAGTTAACTTAGATAACTAATAGTTGAACAAATAAACAAACAAACTAGCCAACTGAAAGCACAATCGTAATTTAAAGTTAGGTTACAAAAGGAAACTCCCAGAATATTCATAGTTTGCCAAAATTATGGCTTCTCACAACAAAATCCAGTATCATATGATCGTAACATGTTTAAGAAACAATATCCTATCCTAAAGTGTGCCAAAAGCGACAGTTGTTAATCTCATAGAAAAATCACGAAATTGAATGAAACAAACAGGAGTGATTGTCATCTCCTTTTGGGCTCCAACGATCAAGGTATCTATACCTTTTTTATATATTCCTCATATCAGGCATCTTCGCTCATTCAAGTCATTGCAATACAATAAATTGATAGTTTTCAGTGTTTCTGCATTGTTTGCTTCGAATAAGATTTTCCTGAGTTATCTTTAATCATCAAGCATTGTCTTATTTCCATACACCGCCATGGTCAGTACAAAGAAATGACCATTACTAGATTTTGACCTTCTAGAGAATCTTTACAATATAAACAACAGTTGATCCAACTAATCCGCATGAACAAACCAAAGTCCATTCCAATCTACTTGAAAAGGATTTATACAAAGTGTTCAAGTTTTTACATTGACATAAAGTAATACTACCCAACAGAATAACAAGTTTGGAAAAGACGAACCTTTTTACGCTCTTGACGAATATTTTTCCTTTTACTTTGCTTCATATCCATTAAGAACTCATCAAAACTGCAAAAGGAATCTTTATAAACATTTTTGTAGTGACACATAAAATAGCAGGATATACAAAAAAAATGAAATTAAGTACTCAAGATCAGAGATTCAGAAATCACTGATCACATAGAAAATTGAATACAGAGATAAATTATACAGCCTGTGCAAGGGAGTTGCTAAAGTAGCTGATTATGATCAAGTAATATCTAAACTCGTGATGATCTTTAATTGTACATGGGCTCAAGAGATTAAAGCAAAATATTATGGACCTCTAATCCGCTCCAGGAAACCTTTTTCCCTGCATTTAGGAAGATATTTACAAATGAAGAAACACAGACACTCACCTTTTATAATTACGATTTTTCCAGTGGTACTGCATTCCAATCCTCTGCATGAAACCTTTTTCCCTGAATTTATGCCACTCATTTTCAGATGAGAAGGTAATGTGTAATGATGAAACCTGGGACTGTCAAAAGATATAAAGTCAGATTGTGCAGGCAAGATACAACAAATGAAAACAAGAAATTTCTTCCTTGTTTCATAGAAATTATTTCCCACCTGATTACTATACTTCATCTGACTCATTTGAGAAAAAAAAAAAAATTATAAACAATTGTATGCAGAAAAGGCTTGGCATGGAATCAAAGGAGGACAAATCATGCATGGAGAAGCAACATTTAGTTAATTCATACAATACCTTGGCTGTGAGATCCTTCAGCGCAGATATTATGACACCTAGTACTTGATCTTTGAATAAATTATTACGTATCAAAATCCTTGGACCAGTTACTGGAGTAAAAGGTACACAACACTGAAACTTTGGATAATATCTCATTCCATAACTGTAGTAGGCATCTGCCCAAGCATGATCGAAAACAAATTCACCGTAGGAATGGCTGCATATACAAACAAAAAGTGATGAGAAAAAGAACTAGGAAGCAGTTAAACAGAAGCTTCTGAAAGAATTCCAAGAGAAACTACATGAAATCTTGTTTGGACAGCATAGTAGATGCTAAACCTTTTAAGATAGAGTGGAACAACACCTAGAATATTTTCAGACTCATCCTTAGCAACGATATGGCATGGCGTCCATCCTGTTTCCTGCAAACAGTTTAAATGCAAAATTAAGACAACAGTGCAAGATTCAGGCTATCTACATTGATCATGTAACTAAGAGAGAATATGAATTGACAACACTTGAATGATATTCTGTAGAAATTTGTTTCCACAAATAATTTTACAGAGAAATTTTAAAGATGATTAAGCAATCTAAGTATTATTTCTCCTACATGAGGATAGAAGCTTTTAAACTTCTAACAAAGTTCAAGCAGAGAATATAACAATCCTTGCATAAAACAATGATGTATACAACATATATATATGAACAAGAGAACAAATCTTTCAACAGGAACACATTACTTTTAATGGTAGCTACTAATGCAAACATTTAGCTACAAAAGTTTTCTTCAGAAGGTAGATATGGATTTATCAGCTTGAAGAAATGGACAATGCTTTTATTTGCTAAATGGATTGAATAAAGTACTTGATCTTCGGCAGAATCCATTATACAACAAGACCACATTACTTTCAGAGGGCTTTCAATATGCAGTCTTGACTTATAGACAATAAGAAGCGTTAGCTAACCTTCACAGCACAACCTGTCTCTTCTAAGCTTGAAAGAAACCCATGGGTAAGAAATGGATTGAATTTCTCAGGGCCTGTAGTATCCAGAGCACATGCATCCCATTCATTTGCTGAAACATCTAAGATTGAAGAAATAACTGAAAGGTATATCTTTTTAGATGTTCCCTGGTTTTCGGTGGCTCCCTATATTTAGATTCATAACGTGGCATTAGCTGAAGGAAAAAGCCACTAGACACAAACACAAAAAAGTGATAATCTAGATAATCATAATTTTCATAGGACCATCAAAAGTAACACCTCTTGTTCTGACCCTGTTATAGTGAAATCTACCACTGAAAAGTCCAGTACTTGTTGCTCCACAGACTTCTTAGATCCCCAAAATAGTGCATTAATTTGAGATCTCTGCACTTGATTCCTAAATGGTTGTCTGCATGGTGATTTTCCCTACAATTTTCACATATATAAAATTAGAGAAGCATTAATATTCAGATCACTATCATCACCCTCCGATATCTATACATTCTACACCAGTACGAATACTAACCAAAAAGCAAAAGAAGAAAATACGAAAAATGAAACATTACAGTGGTCTAACCAATATAAGTAACAACTTTCTTCTTTAAAATGATACATAACAAATTAAAGTTTTCACCATGGACATTGAACACCATTCTATTACAAAGATTCCGTAATTTTTCATTCTTATAACTTAGAATTTGAGAGGCATACCAAAAGAAACAAATGCTCTCACGATATAGGAGCAAAGCCAAACCTATACGGCATTTTCAATCAACCACAAATCAACGCACTCCTAATTTTACTACCATAAAGTACACTAATCACGACTCTACGCACAATGATGCAGCAGCCATAACTTGGAGAGATATCTCCACTCTGGCATCTAAATCACGCAGCAAGAATTCTTTCAAGTCAAATAAACATCAACAGCACTACATTATCAACAAAATCAAACTCCAACTTAGTTCTCTGGATACTCCATTGAAACTCATTAATCTTATAGCTTACTTCATCTCATTTTCATCATTTTCCAACAATTTTTCATTTCTCAATATGTATCATGAACTAAGGATGCTTTAAACAGTACATTCATGAGAATCACTTTGAGTAAAACACTTTTCCGTAAAATCCCCTCAAATAATTTTTTTTTGTAATAACATTCATCAAGAACTTTTTCGAAAACAGCTCAACTAAAAACCATTTTCAGTTCATTAATTTTTTTGTTTCAATTTCAAAAGCGCTTTCTAAGGAAAAAGAAAGCAACCATCAACTGCTTCTCTTTAGTTCATTTAATATATATATAGTTTTTATTTTCATAAAAACAACTATCCAGTCAAGAACTGCTTCAAAGAAACAGCTCACTACTTCTTTTCAGCTCATTTATTTTTCAACTCGAATAATTAACATTCTATTCAACTAGAATTAAACAATTTCAATTATCGAAATCGCAGATAAACATAGCGAGCAAAACAATTATAATAACTAAAATTAAACTAAAAATTAATAAAAATAATAACCACAAAGAGATTGAGAGAAAGAGAGTTACAGTTAAAGAAGGAGAGGATCGACCGAGAAATGGCGAAGGCTTGCAGTAACTGACTACTGCTGCCATGGCCACCTCACACTCAGCTCTGCTCTGTTGGCTCAAAATAGAATCACAAACAACAAAAACAAAAACAAATTTCAAAATTCAAAAATGAAAAACTATCGAGAATATAATGGAGGTCCACGTGGCATCCACCAAATGTGATATATAGCTTATTTTGTTTTAACGTTTTTAATTTTTTAATTTCATTTTTTTTTCTACCTTCTACATACTTCAACAAGTTGATTATATTTATATTTTGAATATGTTAAGTTGGTTAATTAAAAAATAATTTAATAAATATTTATAAACAGTTAATAAGGAAATACTTTGTTGTTGATTGTTTTTATGTTTTAATTTTAATATTTCAATATAATTAATATTGTGAATTTAGGGTTTGTGGTATAAACTATTTCATACGAGTTCAATCATATTTTATTTTATTATATAATTTATATCTCAAATAGGGCCATTGCGACACCCATCAAAGGAGTACATCCCCAGTCACCAAAAAAGAAGAAGTTAAACATCATGATAATATGATAGAAATGATGTCACGTCTACTTATAATAAGGCCATAAGTATTCATTGCATAGAAATCATGTAAAAAATTTAACTCATCAAATTCATTTCAAGCCGTTGTGTGTGATTTTTCCATCAAGCTCGGAGAATTGCGAGGTTATAGCTAGATCCGAAATTTGCTCGATTCAAGTGATTGTCCAACCTAGCATAGGCTCGTCGAGTTGTAGCTTGACCTAGCACAAGCTAGTTGCAACTAATCTTTACAGTTGTTCAACTAGCTCACAGATAACTCCAGATCCCAGATATTTGGGAAGGGATCAGATCGACAACAATCTTGACGCAATCTCAGCACTCAATCGTGAGAATATTAGAGTTGCATTTTGTTACAGATGTATATAACTTCCTAGATTATAGGGATCACATTAAAATCCTGGATTATTGGGATCACTTGTATCCTAACAGAGATTGATCACCTACCTAGTTTAGAACACTACAAGTGTATATAAATATGTATCCTTTTAAGCTATGAATGAGAAGTGTGTGTAAATATTCATCTTTAGTACGTTTATTTACATGGTATCAGAGCCTTAAAAGATAATTAGGGTTTGGGTTTCAAAATTGAGAAATTACGGTTTGGGTTTCAAATTGGGAACACCTGTTTAGGTTGAGATTTGTTCAACACCGCCACCCTAAGGAGATTCAGAAGCCACCGATCGACAAAACCCCGAGTTTCGGCCATCAGAATCCCCGCGCGTGAGCTCCACACCCCACCCGAAACTTCGGTGAATAGTACCATGCGCCGGCCCGTGAGAGCGTGTCCACCGCTGATGTCTCCTCCGATTCTCTTCGTCTGCTTTGTCGGTACTTGGACAGCACATTTTCGTGCTGGATTGGGTAATCTCTTACTGGTCCACTGCTGTTCTTTGTTTGGATATTTCTAAGGATTTAGTTGTGATCTTTTGACACTTTGTTTTCATTTGGTTATTGGATTTTTGCTATGCTATGGCCTCTGGTTGGTGGTGGCTGTTGATTGATTTAGTGTGTCACTGAAATTTTCTTAGTTTGCTTTGTTTTAACCCTTTGTTGGTGTGCATTGGGATTATCGTCTGTTTAAGACATGTCTGATACAAAGCCAATGATGGAAATGATATGAAACGATGTCGAAAATTATAGAACATAAGCTCATTGTAATAACTAATTACCATGATTGACGTAAAACTATTATATTGTATTTGCGGAGTATTGATAAAGATGATCATATGACTGATGATCCACCTGAGGATGATTCGAAAAAGACATGGCTCCAAGATGATACTCAATTGATTCTACAAATACGGAACTCTATTGACGGTGAGGTACTTGGCCTAATTAATCATTGTGAGTTTATTAAAGAACTGATGGATCATTTGGAGTTTCTGTATTCTGGAAAAGGGAATGTTTCTCATATTTATGAAGTGTGTAAGGTATTCTACCGTGCAGAGAAACAAGATAAGTCTCTTATAGCTTATTTTATGGAGTTTAAGAAGACTTATGAAGTGTTGAACATGTTGTTACCCTTCAGTGCTGATGTTAAAGTTCAACAAAAACAACGGGAGCAAATGGCAGTCATGAGTTTTCTTGTAGGTCTTCCTTCTGAATTTGAGACTGCTAAGTCTCAAGTTCTAGCTAGTCCAAAGATCTCTTTGTTGCAGGATGTCTTTAGTAGGGTACTTCGCACAGAAGGTACCCCACCGGTTCAGTTTAGTGGTGCTCTCGTCAGTCAAAAGAATGACTATGAATCTGGGCGATCACAATTTGGAAGTGGCAACAGAGGAGGGTCAAATAGTAATATGGGAGGAATTGTGTGTCACTATTGCCATAAGCCAGGACACATGAAACGTGATTGTAGAAAGCTTCAGAACAGAAATAAAAGAAATCCCTTTGCCCATGTTGCATCCACTAATGATACTTCGGATTAGTCAGTTCTTATTTCTGCAGATGAATTTGCCAAGTTTTCATTGTACCAGGAATCATTAAAAGCTTCACCTACTCTTGTCACGGCTATGGCTGACTCAGGTAAGCCAAATACATGTCTCATTTCCTCATCCTCCAAATTCGTCATTGACTCTGGTGCAATAGATCACATGTCAGGTAATCCTAGTCTTTTTGCTACTTATCAATCAAAAACCCTTTCGAATGTGACTTTAGCAAATGGGTCACCATCCTATGTTCTTGGGTCTGGCATAGTTACCCTACTCCACAGCTTCCCTTGTCAAATGTCTTACATTTACCAGATTTTTCTTTCAATTTGATTTTTGTTAGCCAACTTACTCGTGCTCTTAATTGTTGTGTTTTATTCCTTCCCAATTATCACTTGTTTCAGGATCTTACGACGAAAAAGATTATTAGTAAAGGACATGAATCTGGAGGTTTATATATTCTCAACAGACCAAAATCTACACATGTCGCTTGTTCTAGCGTTGCATCCCCGTTTCAAGCACATTGTCATTTGGGCCATCCATCTCTTCCTTCACTTAAGAGATTGTGTCCTCAGGTTAATAAAGTGTCTACATTAGAGTGTGAGTCATGTTTTACAGGAAATAGGTGAGCAGTGGTCGGGAGGAAGTTGACAAGTGGAGAGAATTGGCATTACTGTCCACCGTTGCTAAAGTTTTTGTACTTGTTATTTTGGTATATTTAAAGAATTATATTTTATAAGTAAAGAAAAATTTGGGCCCAACTATTTTTCATAGACTAAGTATGTATGTTTTTATTGTATATGTTCTAAAGTATACTAGTAGAAAGAAGTCATTACAATGTCAGTTTGCTAAACATCATCGTGTCAGTTCTAGTCCTAGAGTCAATAAAAGAGCTAATTCTCCCTTTGAATTAGTTCACTCTGATGTTTGGGGTCCCTGTCGAGTTCTGTCTAAAACTGGTTTTAGATATTTTGTTACATTTGTGGATGATTACTCTTGTATGACTTGGTTATTCTTAATGAAAAATCGTTCTGATTTGTTTTCTTATTTCTGTGCTTTTTGTACTGAGATTAAAACTCAATTCAATGTTTCTATTCATACATTGCATAGTGATAATGCAAAAGAATATATGTCAGTTTATTTTCAAAATTACATGACTTAGAATGACATTCTTCATCAAACTTCATGTGTTGATACTCCATCTCAAAACGGAATAGCAGAATGGAAAAACAGACATCTTCTTGAAACTGCTAGAGCCTTATTATTCCAAATGAATGTTCCTAAACCATTCTGGGCTGATGCAGTTTCCACCGCTTGGTTTTTGATTAACCACATCTCATCTTCTGTCTTTCATGGTGAGACCCCGTACAATAGTCTTTTTCCTAACAAAGCATTATTTCCTCTTGAACCTAGGGTATTTGGTAGCACTTGCTTTGTTCGGGATGTTCGATCGTCAGTCATTAAATTAGATCCCAAGTCATTAAAATGTGTCTTTCTTGGTTATTCTCGACTTCAGAAAGGATATCAGTGTTATTGTCCTCTTAATAAGTATCTTGTTTCCATTGATGTTGCCTTTCTAGAAGAAACACCATACTTTCCCTCTTCTCCTACAGATCGTCAGAAGAATGATGATAATGATGATTTGTTAGTTTATACCTTCACTTCCCCTACACCGATATCTGAACCGGCTTCTGTCTCTGACCCTGTCACTATTCCTGCGCTTCCTGCATCGGCTCCTATCTCTGATCCTGCTCCTGTCAAAGTCTACTCTCATCGTCCACCTCCTCCTGTTTCATGTTCGGCACCAACTTCTTCATCATCCGATCCAGTTTCAAGTGATGATCTTCCTATTGCATTGCGAAAAGGTAAACAACTGTGTACTTATCCTGTTTCTTCTTGTGTTTCTTATGATCATTTGTCACATTCATCATGCTCCTTTATTGCTTCCATTGATTCTATTACTGTCCCTAAAACTGTTCATGAAGCCCTTTCTCATCCTGGTTGGCGTAATGCAATGATAAAGGAAATGAATGCCTTAGATGACAATAGTACTTGGAAATTAGTAGATTTACCTTCAGGGAAACAAGCAATTGGATGCAAATGGATGTTTATGGTTAAAGTTAATCCAGATGGGTCAATTGCTCGACTAAAAGCTTGTCTGGTTGCTAAAGGATATGCTCAGACCTACAGAGTTGATTATTCTGATATTTTTTCCCCTGTGGCTAAGTTTACCTCTATTCAGTTGTTTATCTCTATGGCAGCTACTTATGATTGGCCTTTGCATCAGCTAAACATCAAGAATGCTTTTCTTCATGGTGATCTTCAGGAAGAGGAATATATGGAGCAACCTCCTGGGTTTGTTGCTCAGAGGGAGTATGGGAAAGTATGTTATCTTCACAAATCTCTGTATGGTTTAAAACAAAGTCCTCATGCTTGGTTTGGAAAGTTTAGTCAGGCTGTTGAGAGATTTGGTATGCTGAAATGTAAAACTAACCATTCTGTTTTCTACAAACAGTCTGAAATTGGCATCATTCTTCTAGTTGTGTATGTGGATGATATTGTTATTACTGGGAGTGATAGTGTGGGCATCACATCTCTTAAGTCCTTTCTC